AAATGGTGCAGCAACACGTTAAAGTCTCTCAACAAGAGAACATCTTCTCGACAAAGACAGTGGTTTGCAGATTGGACGCCAGTCTTATATGATGGGTTTCCTTGGAGTCCAGGGCTAACAACATGTGACAACTTGTTTGGGATATTATGAAAGAGAAAAATGTCCAATTCTGCCTTAACAAGGGCTGAAGCAGCCCTTGAAGAACTGCTATAATGACATCCAGCCCTCCTTCTAAAGGAAGATTCTAGAAGGACATGGGGCAAAGGTAAAGTTTATAGAGAATGAGAGGAACTTACAGATAACTTTGAACTGGCATATCTGTAGTTATCTCTATTAATGTGAATTTACAAAAAAATAGTGAAATAGGGACAGATAGGCATTTGTTCTCTGAAGTCATTTAGGCATGTCTTCATAATTCCAGGACATTGGGCAGAAGCTTCCTCTATCCTTTTCCACAGAGTAATTCAAACATGGAAAACGACCCCTGTAGCCTCCTGGGCAAAGACCCATTTGCTTCTGATTCTTTGAAGGGTAAACAGGAAGGCTTTATAGAAAGTGTCAGCTTCTTTCTTGAACAGTTTCCTAGTGCAGAGATAAACATATATCCTTCCCTGACATCCCTCCACCCTGTCCCAAGTGAAACCCTTGCTGACTCTGTCTCTGTAACCCCTCTGGCCTTTCGTTTCTGGGGGGGCTTGCCAGCTTGCTACTCCACATGGAGAACAGAGCACGATAGAGTAGGACAGGAACTTTCTATTCTCTCCACTACATAGAGAAGCTCTCTAAGTCTCTCTAAGCTTTTCAGACTTAACGTGTCTCTTGCAAAATATTTGTTCCTGACTCACCACTAAGATGAACTTTGAGAGTTACATAGTTTGCCTCCCCCTCGATAATATGCATAGCTAAGGCACAGCTAGGCTGGTGTTCTCATTCTTGCTGCCTGCCCATGGTGTGACCTTAGCCTCTCTCTCAGTATTTGGATTTCCACAGTCTTTATGAATGATACCAGTTTTTTAACACTCTCCTTGCAACACTCCCTCCTTATCATTCCACAATCTTTTACATGGAAGACCCACGTATTTTGTAAAACAAAGGGGAAAAGTCCTGATTATACACCAAGAGGCAATTATTAAGAGTAGCGCACAGGTCATTTTTCATCCTTTCAACCACCTAGTCAACCACCACCCGCCATGTTCACAAAAACCCCCAAGGCCACCAACAAGAAAACACCCAGGTTTCCTCTAGGGTGACTTGACTGTTCAAAATGCTTCTCAGTGGAAAACTTTGTAAACGCTCAATTTTATTTATTCTCTAACACAGTTTTCCTGTCAGCCAGGTTTGGAGGTGTTTTCTGAAACATGAATGCCATTCATCCAACACCAAAAAGATTCCAGAACCTTCCACGGCACATATGGCCAAACCTAAGACCAGTTTGCACTGGAGGACGGTTCTGCACTGGCAGGCATTTCTGTAGCTTCTGACATCAGGGGAAAGAGGTTATTCCTGCAGTGCTCCTGACGTTATGTGACAGCAGAGCCATTGCTTCTTTAGTTGAATGGTTACCTCTGGAGGCGGGACCGACAGGGACGGCCTGGGTGGAAAGGCAGAGAGAGAAGGCTGCTTTCACTCATCACTGCAGACTCACTGCTGTTCAGCTGATCTTGTAGAACTGACTTAGAAAAGATTACGTCTCCATAAATATAGGTTCTGGTCAGAATCAAACTCTCTTTCCAAGGGGGGGTTGGGAAGGCCCCGAGCTTCCTGCCTGTTTGTGCACACATCTTGTTTTCTTAGGGGCAATGGGACTGAATACTAACTAATCAACTGTCTACATGATCCGCATAGAAGCGAGAGTCTGAAAAGAGAGGGAATCTTTTTTTAAAATTACATTATTATTTGTATTTATTTTCTGGGTGCTGTTTCTGATTCCAAGGAGTTACATAAAAGTTGCAAAGCCAGTTATACACCATCTGAATGTTCCTGCAGAACTTGGAATGGGGCGCTCCCTATTTAGTGGTTAATAAAGGTCAGTGGCTTTCTTTTCCTTTCTAACTTTCTTTGGGGTGTGCCTAGCCTTGAGGTCTGGGTTGTGGCTATGAGTAGGTCTCTGTAGTCCAAGAAACACTTCTCAGACTTCTGAAGATGGGCGGAAAGACAGTGCCAAGCTGCCTGCCGCTGTGGCAGCACCAACGAAGAAGAAAAACAAGCCAGAGGGTGCGGGTGTGATCAGCGCCTGTGCAGGGATTGGAGTGGTCGTTTGGGGCTTCCAGAGGGATAATGACAAGTTTATCCACAGGAGTAAAGAGTTTGAGCAGCCAGAAGACGCTTGCGTAATATCCCAGCAAATCAATTTAAAAACTTAAATATGACAACGAGCTACAGAAAGGCAAAAGGAATTGGTGGGTGAAAAGGAAATCTGCCAGCCTTCAAAAGTGAAAAACAAGCAAAATGGAGCTTGACGAGAGCCCAGGGGTGTTGGCCAGAGGCTCCAGAACAGGAGGCTGCAGTCACTTCATTGTATTCAGCACAAAGTCTCTAAAGCCGAGAGCAGGAAATCCTGTTGTACCCACCCATGTCCTCAACTGAGATCCCATGACACAATATTCCTTAGATACCAGCAGAAACCCTTCTTACATGCGAAGGGGTGTAGTTCACAATACTCTTTAGAAAGCTGGTTGAAAGGTCACGTCATTAAGGGCATAAAACATTTATCCACATGTTTATTCATCAGTAATTTACTGAGTGCTATACCGGGGGAGGAGAAGGGAAAGGTTGAATGATGACTGATGAAAGAGACCAGTTAAGACACTCAGGTGAGCCTGTGGTCTAAAATGATGCTTTTGAAGGTGGTAGACGCCCACCTGGGAGCATCTTAGAAATGCAAATTCCTGCCCCACCCAGCCTTACTGAAACAGAAACCCTGGGGGCAGGGCCCAGCCTTCTGTGTTTTAACAAGCTTTCCTGATGCATGGAAAATTTAAGACGTTTAGGAACATGGTGTCTCAATGATGTGTCCTGGCCATTTGTGAGATGTGTGGAAAATAATATATTATTAATGAGAGTTAGCATACCGACATTTGTGAATAATTTATATGTATGTCACCTGCAAAGATTTTTTTTAAAAATACAGATCCCTGGCTCCTCCCAAATCCAACAGAGTAGAAATATCCAGGTGTGGTAGCCAGTATTTACTTTTAAAACTTCCCAGGTGACTCTTAGGATCAGCCAGGTGTGGGAACCACTGGTCTATGAGAGCCATTTGCCCCATAACAAAAAATCTTGGAATTCTAGAGACAGGTCCCTCGGATAGCAGGCTCCCCGCTTCTAACAAATATTAGGCAGACCTCGACCTCCAGAAACACATGGAGGAGAAACTCCATTGACTGCAGCACAAGTGGAGGCTGCTTGGTACCTTCCTTTCTGCAGTGGCTGTTGCAGCCCTTTATACTAATCTAGAGGCCAGGAAAGGTGGCTCATGCCTGTAATCCCAGCACTTTGGGAGGCCAAGGGGGGCAGATCATGAGGTCAAGCGATTGAGACCATCCTGGCAAACATGGTGAAATGAGGCCTCTACTAAAAATACAAAAATTAGCTGGGCGTGGTGGTATGTGCCTGTAGTCCCAGCTACTTGGGAGGCTGAGGCAAGAGCATTGCTTAGGTTGCAGTGAGCTGAGATCACGCCACTGCACTCAGCCTGGTGACAGAGCAAGACTCTGTCTCAAAAAAAAAACAAATCTAGAGTTCTCAAAAATATGGTTTGAAAACCACTGATGGTTCTACCACCACCGCCTCCTCCTGCCTCATAGACCCCATTCATTGATGAGGAAACTGAGGTTCAGAAAAGTAAAATGACCTGAAAACATGTGTCTGATCATTTAGGTCTGCCCAGGACTAATGGCTTCCCAGAAGTTAGAACTTTCAGTTGTAAAACAGGGACAGTCCCAGACCAACCAGGATCAACTGGTCACCCTAGGTCGGAGACTGTACTACAGCCACAGTTCTTGTGTTTTGGTTGATTTATTATTGCTGTTGTTCTTGCTATTATGCCATATTCCTGCAAGAAGAATTCAAATTACTGTTTTTTTTCTAGCCCCTTGAGAAGTTCTTACTAAATTACTACGGTTTTCTTTTAAAAACCATATTTGTTTTTATTCCCTCATTCCAGAAGGATTTAAGGGAACATTAAAACATTATTTTATGTTTTCTGACATACTCGTAAGTATTCCAAAATACCGTGGAATACTCCTGTGTCCATGTCTCCTCTATCTGACTTCAGACCCACCATGCCATGTGCATTTTCTCTCTGGCTTCCATATATTTGTGTGATGTTTGCCATGGCACCTACAGTGCCTTACTGAGATCTGCGTATTAGTCAGAACTTTTTAGCTTGCCAGTGAAAGAAAACAAAATGGTGGAGTATATCAGCTTAGATAGAGAAAAGATCTTCAGGCACAACTGGATGGGGTTCCATCGCATCCGGACATCGTCCCTCTTCGAACCCATAGGAAGATGGTCATGCAGCTCCACGCACCCGCATCCTCCCAGCAACCCAGCTGACGGCATCTCGTCCCCAGTAGCTTTTGTAACAGTCCCTAGGATGGACTCTGTTTGGGCTGACTTGTGCTGTGCCCCTTCCCTAAACCAGTTGCTGCCCCCAGGACAATGGCATACTCTGATTATCCAGACTGTGGTCCTGCATCCACCCCTGGCACCAGGGACTAAGAATAGAGAAATGCAAGTCCCCAAAATAAAGTCAAAGATGGTTGCTAGAAGCAGAGGAGGAACAGATGCTAGGTAGGTGAAAGCAGCAAGTGTCCACGTGGTCTTAAACAGTTCGAGAGGGCTGACCGACTAATCCGCTGATGCACGGTCAACAGTGCGCAGCCCCATGTCTTCCTCTATCCCCACTCTACTGAGATCTAGGTACTATTTTCCCCTGAAACGCTAGGTTACATGACTCCAAGGCCACCATTGTCAGTTCTAATTTTGAAGGCACGCACCACATTTGGCTGAAGCTAGCGGCAGCCCCAGAACTCACGAGACTCCATCCAAAAAACGACAAGCCCTTTGCCGAGCTCCCAAATATGGAGCTCCTGAGAGTTAGTAGCTGGTGACTCATGTTCCCTCTGCTTCGGTTGCCCCCACGTTTTCCAGCTGGGTTGGTGATGTGGAACTCAGTACTTTCTTCAATGCGTCCCGTACACAAAGAATAAACAGCCCCGGAGCTCTTTCTTTTTCTTCCTGCCTTTCTTCCTGTAATTCATTCTCAGCCCAGCTCAGCTTTGTTCAAACCACAGCATTTCATGTTGCCTGGCAAGTTCTGACACAGCTGCTTGCTTTATTCTTTCAGTCTTCTGTTAAGCCAGGGGTAAAGTTATACCTTGTGGCTAATTTTTAGTCTGTAAACCGTATCCCTTGTTCAAGCTAAAATCTTAGATAAAATCAGCATGAAAATGCCAGCTCCCGCCGAGACCGTTGAATTAAGGCCCCCATCACTCTTCCTGCCCTGACATTCAATTCAGTCCTTTTCGACTTTTATGAGTGGTTTTCTCTTATCCATGAGCAAGGCGGTGGCTTGGGTCTTTTTAAGCAATTTGCTTTTCTTCTTAATCACCCCGCCCCTAATCCATCCGACCTGTATTTTTTTCTATATAATCATGCAATACATCTCTGATTTGAGTCTCCAGCTTTCCATGCTAAAGGTGGGCTTTAGGAAGGTCTATTTTACAAACTAATAAACCTTTCGGTCCTAGGGACTCTAGTAGGGAGGCCACTGTGTCAGCTTCCCAGGGCTGCTGTCACAAAGTACCAAAAAGTAGGTGGCTTCAGATGACAGACATAGATTTTCTGGAGGACAGTAGTCTGAAATCACGGTGCTGGCAGGGCCACGCTCTTTCTGAACCTTCCACGGGAGGATCCTTCCTTGCCTGTTCCAACTTCCGGCAGCCCCTGGCGTTTCTGGGCTTGTGGCGGCGTCTCGCCCCCCCTTGCCTCCTTCTTCACAGGGCTACCCTCTCCCTCTGTGTCTCTTTCACACACCGTTCTCTTTCCCTCTTACAAAAACAGCAGTCATATTGTATCAGGGCCCACCTTCATGACCTCATCTTAACTTGATGAAATCTGCAAAGATTTCTCATTATTTAATCAGAGCCTCAGTTTCTCCATCTATTATGAGAGAATAATACTCGTGTGCACGAATGGAGATGTTTTATGCATAATTAACAGTCCCTATTTTTAAAAAGGCTTCATGATTTTATATATGTGTATAAATTTTTTGTGTGTATATGCATATACATACTCACCTATACTTAACATGATCTTTGATGTAATCATGTGATATAGTTGGGGAAAGCATCATTCCAAATAAAGTCCAAATTTTCAAATAAAGTCACATTCACAGGTGCAGGGAGGTAGGACTTCCACATACCCTTTCATGGGGAGAGGAGATAGCCAGGCAAGAGGAAAAACAGGCACAGAAAAATACCTCTGATCGCGGTCAACTGAAAAGGAGATCCTGATGTTCTCAGAGGATGTTCACCCAGAAGGAACCTGGGACCCCAATGGGAACATCTGGAGATAGAGACAAAAGCCTAGCAACAAAGGTGATGGCTCAAGGGGACAGGAGAATCCACTGGAGGGCGACAGGCAAGGACACACGCCTACTTAAAGAGCCTGCTGTGTGCCGTATGTGCCTTTATCCTGTTGAATTCTCAAATAACTCTGCCAAACAGTTGCTATTATTCTCTTTTAATAGATGGAGAGACTGAGGTTCTGATTAAATCATGAGACCCAGATTATACACCTATAAGTAGAAGAGTGAGATCACTATTGCTATTACCATGGTCTCTAGTTTTGAATAGGCATTGGAGCTCTGGTGCTACTGTGTACAAGGATGCTATCTATATTAACTGAGATCATCACAGCTCATAAAGCTAGATATTGTTGGCCTTATACAGATGAAGAAACAGAAGCTCAGAGAGGCTCCGTCACTTGCTTGGAGTCACACAAACATTACATAATTGAGCCAAAATTTAAACTCTGGTCTTTCTGACTGGCAGGATCCTTCCTTACTGTGGTGCCGTGTTGCTGGTGGACATTAGGGTATCTAAATCAGGATATTCCTAGCTTCAGAGAAAGAAGCTGTATAAAGAAACCAAGTGATTATACTTGAGGCTTAACATCTACACTGCCCACGAGGACATGTATGCTCCATCTGTATCCAGAGGCTGAAGGAACGCCTGTGGTGTAAAGAACTCACTTTTCTAGAGAACTGGAGAAGGGATTAGACATGTTAACCCTGAATTAAAGAAAACTTGGGGCGGGGTAGGCTCAGAGAGTGTTCAGAGTTCAGGAACGTGGCCTGTGGAAAAGCGGGGAGGCCGGAAAGGGCCCCCGCCTGTGTCCGTGTGGAGGCAGCTCTGGGCCCTGCTTGAACGCACATGTGCGAGCCACTTGACCCACCTTACAGTGGAAGAAGCTGGCACCCATGGGCCACCGGAGAAACCTCAGCAGCCACCTGGCGTTCCCGAGTGACCATGCTGCTCACAACCCTCAGGGGTCCCTTGTTGCTTTTGGGACTGCAGGGCAGGCAGGGTATCTTCACCCACCACTGGATTCATGGCTGAGGCCCCCATAATGAAAGACAGATGAACAAGAGAAGAACGTACAAACGCATGAAATGTGAGTTTTACATGACACAGGAACCTTTGAGAGGAAATGAAGAACCAGAGAAACAGGGAAGCCTGTGTGTTTGCTATGCTAGGTTGGAGGAAGAGCGCACAGTCATAGAGAGGCGTGGCCCAGCAAAGCGGGTGATAACCTGGAGGGAATGTCACCAGGTTTGTTGGATCAGATTCTCCTCTGTGTCCTTGTGTCTTCAGAAATAAGGATGTTCCTTTCCTCTGAGTATGCAGGCATCACTCACACCAGGGTCCAACGTCCTACCTCAAGGGAAGGTCAGGAAATCCTTCCTGGGACTGATGACCTGCTTCAGAGAGAAGGGTGGAACAAAGGAAGGTGAGAGTGACCTTCCTGCTTTTGCTGTTTTCTCAAATGCCAACGTTCTATTTTGGGGGGCAGTATGTCCTGAACCCCATCAGGATGAAGTCCCAACTCCGTGAAGCCCCTCCCGAACTGGACCATCCTACTGCTCCGGCCTTAGCTCCCTCTGTTCCTGGCCTTGAACTTCACAATCCAGCCTGGGGACTCCTGGCAGTTCCCTAAATATGCAAAGAGCTCAGCTTCCTTTCCTGGTCCTGGTGCTGGTCTCAGCCCTCTCTGTCTCTCCCCTCCTTCTTCCCATCTCTCTTCCTTTCTGGCCCATGTCCCTTGTACATACTGTAAACTCTTCCTGGAACGTCACCCTTCCACCTATGAAACTTTTTCCAGCTCACTCCTTTTCTCCCTTTAAGAATCCACTTCTCAAAAGAAAATGGCAATTCTGTGAGGTTGCTGATTAGCTTAATCATCGAGGCATTCATAATGTATACATAAAACAATTTGTACATATTACTATGTATGAATTTTTTTTGTCAATTATATATTAAGAAAGAGAAGTGGGTTTGGAAAGACTCAACTTCTGCCAAGACACCTTTCTGACCGCCCCTTAACCCTGGGTGATGTTCCCTGCCATGAGCCCCTGAGTGTTTACCTATATATGCTATGTGTATAAGATATCCCATTCACTTGCTCACTCACCTGTGTCCCCACTGTGAGGTCAGTGGCAGAGCCTTGTTCAGTGTCGTCCTATCCTCTGCAGCACCCACCATGACCTCTGGCACTCAGTGGGGGTTCAATAAGCCAATCGTTGTGTTGATGTACCAGTGATATCGAGGGGAGGTGAGGCCCGCCGAACTCTGAGATCCTGTCTACTCCGAGAGTCTGTGAGTCTGTATTTCTGCTTCCACAGTTAGTCATGGAGGAAGTTGCCAAAGCAGATGGTGAGACTTCTGTTTGGGGTTGCCCAGGTCTGCCTGGCCTTTGCAATTTGTAATCAGGTCATTTGAAAGAGAAATTGAACCGAGAGAAAAACAAAGTTTGGATGAGGCAAGAGTTACAAAATAATGAGTCATGTAATGGTGATGGCGGCCTCTGGTACCATCTTGGGCCCTGCCCAGATTATACAAGATTTTGTATGTATACCTTTGAGCATGGCCAAGAGGACAATAGTCAAAACCATGGCTTGAGTGTTCAAAAGCCTCTTTTCCCTTAACGTGTTGCCTCTAGAGGTCAGACTGAAACCCTGAACCTGCAATAATTTCCTCCTTAGCACTGGATATACATGAAGAGATTGGAGAGTCATATATGTTACCGTGTTTACATGCCATGTAAATGGGATAACACTTGCACTTTTTGGCCATTAACATCCAGGCGTCAATTAGTTTATTGTTTGTTATATCAAACTATATTGCCCAGGCCAGCTCCTAAAGAACTGGAAACTGTGAACATCTCAGCCTAGAAGGTCAATGTGACCTTCAGTTTGCACACCACCCATTGTCTCTTTCAAACCAAGAGCCTCTCTGAGCTAGATAGGCCAGGGTTTTTTTTTTTTAAGTTTTATTTTAGGTTCAGGGGTATATATACAGATTTGTTACACAGGTAAACTCGTGTCATGAGGGTTTTTGTATAGATTATTTGGTGACCCAGGTACCAAACCTAGTATTCATTAGTTGTTTTTTCTGCTCCTCTCCCTCCTGTCACCCCCAACCCTCGGTTAGTTCCCATTGTGTGTTGTTCCCCCGCATGTGTCCATGTGTTCTCATCATTTAGCTCCCACTAATAAGTAAGAATATGCGGTGTTTGATTTTCTGTTCCTGTGTTAATATACTGAGGATAATGGCTTCCAACTCTATCCACGTTTCTGCAAAGAACATGATCTCATCCTTCATATGGCTGCATAGTATTCCATGGTGTATATGTACCACATTTTCTTTATCCAGTCTACCATTGATGGGCATTTAGGTTGATTCCACGTCTTGGCTATTGTGAACAGTGCTACAAAAAACATATGTGTGCATGTTTCTTTATGATGGAATAATTTCTGTTCCTTTGGGTATATATCCAGTAATGGAATTGCTGGATCAAAGGGTATTTCTGTGTTTAAGTTTTTGAGAAATCACTATGCTGCTTTCTACAACAGTTGAACTCATTGACACTCCCACCAATGGTATATAAGCACTCCCTTTTCTCCACAATCTTGCCAGCATCTATTATTTTTTTATTTTTTGTTAGTAGCCATTCTGACTGGTGTGAAATGGTATCACATTGTGGTTTTGATGTGCATTTCTCTAATGATTAGTGACATTGAGCTTTTTTCATATGCTTGTTGGCTGCATGTATGTCTTCTTTTGAGAAGTGCCTTTTCATGTCCTTTGCCAACTTTTTAATGGGGTTGTTTCTTGTAAATTTGTTAAAGTTTCTTATGGATTCAGGATATTAGACCTTTGTTGGCCAGGAATTTTTATTCCAGATTTATAAATAAAGAAACTGTCTCAGAGAGAAGTGACTTCCCCAAAGTTGCAGCTCGTGAAGATAAAAAGGAGTGGCCAGACATCCGATCTTTGTACCCCAGTGCTCCCCTCCATCCCGCACCTCTTGGCCCTGCTCATCTAGAGGAAACACAAGGACCTGAGGTGAAGTTGTAAAGTGGAGGGGTTGGTGGGGAGGGCTCAGGAGAGCAGGCTGGTGAGCTGTGCTTTGGGGCCTCTTAGCCCATGGAGATGCATGAAGGACAAGGGGAAGGCATTGGAGCATAAAAATGGAGTTTGGAGAGCAGGGAACGGGAGAAGCTGGCTGACCCTTCACAACACAGCTTTCAGGCCAGTCCTGACTAAGATGCTCTGGACTGAAGCCAGTTGAGCATGAGCTCCCACAGAGAAAAGAGGTTTGCACATCCTCTCCACATGGATGCCCATGAGCTAGGACCCTACTAAGCACAAAGTCAGGGTAACTGCCCTGAGCGACTACTGGCTGAGTGATCAAAGCAAGTCAAGGAGCCTTGAAAAGCTGAGGGTAGCTGCTGGGCCAGCAGCCAGCCTAGATCCTATCTGTAACTCCCGTCCTCCCCAGCCCCTTCTTTCCTTCAGTCCAGGCCAGCTGCAAACAGAAACTATGGAGATGAATCAAAGACAGAGCCATCTTTGCATGTGAATTCTAGTATCCATCATAATCAGGTTTATTTTACCCAGTAAAGAAAGTGCACTTTCAATTGACCTGTTGTGGGGGGGGCTCTGAGCTTTCTTATAACAAACAGCACAACAAAAGTGAACCACAGACATTTGTTCCCTTAATAAACAGCATTGCTCTTCTGGGTGAGTCTTGAGATGTTAACACTGGTCTTCCACGTTCTTTTGTCAGTTAAGGGTTGTCATCATCATGACATGGAATAGTGGGGCTGGGATAATCTGCTGAATCAGTACCTAATGCAGAACAAAACCCTTCCATGGAATATAAAAGATACAAATACTACATTCACAGGCATGCTTGTTCATTCAGTGAGCATTTACTGAGCACTTTCTGGTGCCAGACACTGTCCCCAGTGCTGGAGAAAATAGACAAGATCAGGCCAAAAGCAGTGGCTCACGCCTGTAATGCCAGCACTTTGGGAGACAGAGGCAGGCAGATCACCTGAGGTTGGGAGTTCAAGACCAGCCTGACCAACATGGAGAAACGCTGTCTCTACTAAAAATACAAAATTAGCCAGATGTGGTGGCACATGCCTGTAATCCCAGTTACTCAGGAGGCTGAGGCAGGAGAATCGCTTGAACCTGGGAGGTGGAAGTTGCAGTGAGCCAAGATCGCGTCATTGCACTCCAGCCTGGGCAACAAGAGCGAAACTCTGTCTCAAAAAAAAAAAAAATAGACAAGATTCCTGTTATCATGGAGCTTATATGCGAATGGTGGAGACACAAAGAAGCCAAAGAAATAAATAAACACACTAGATCATGTCAGAGTGTGGCAAGCAAGTGCCATGAAGGATCTAAAAAGGAGATGTGTTATTATAGGAGATGCCTTAGGGAGATCCTGGGGGCAGAGTACCTTGAGGTCTGGGATCAGAGCTTTTGTGCAAACAGGGCAGGGGCAGACGTTGTTTGAGGTGCAGCCAGGAGGCCAGTTGGCCTGCAAGGCATGAGCCACGGAACGGCGGTATAAGATAAGGTTGGAAATTGTTTATGCTTCATCTCTCACACCGATTTGGCCTTTGATCTCAGCTAAAATGCTGCTTTCCTTCCTACTGTATTGGTGTTTGCAACCAATGCACTTTCTACTCAGAGAAAAGTCCTCTACCAGTATTGATGAGGGTGAAAAGATCACTCCTTCTCCAGGAATTCTCTTTGGAAACTTGGTGACAGAAGACAGGAGAGCTAAGAGCAGGTCCCATCTTAGAAAATCTGAGGTTCCCCTGGACTTGAGGCCACAGTCCGCTGCAGCCATCACAGCACAGGGATGTGGGGAGATCCTGACTCCACATATAGTTGGCAGGAGATTAGTCTCCCTTAAGGTGTTCAAATGTAGCGCATACACACAAATACACTATCTACGCTATCTCTCTCTCTCTCTCTCTCTCACCTGCTATCTTGCTCGATGCTCCATCTCTTCTATTGCTGTTCTGAGAACAAAGACAGCTCTATGTACAAGTAACTCAAAACCCTGATGTTGCCTCACACTGCCCAAAACCAGACACTAGCAAAATAAATCACAGATGTCACAGTTCCTTGTCACTGTTTTCTTGGCTCATATTTAAAGCATTAAATCAGCTCATCTTCTCCATCTCTCATTCCCCCGCACAGCTCTTCCCTGCTGAGCCATCTTCAACATTCCCTTGGGTGGATTTCTTCTCCCCCTTTTTTCTCTAAGAATCTCCAAGTTTATTTTCGCTCTTACTCTCACCCTCCTTCCCATGCTGCCTCACCCTCCTTCCCATCCTGCCTCACCCTCCTTCCCATCCTGCCTCACCCTGGTTCCTCTTTCTAAGCCCCCTTCTCCACCACCCTATTCTAGACAAGTTCTTACAAAAATACCTTTCTTCCATAGTATCTTCTCTACTTCCACAAGAATTCCCCAGATTCCTTTCCTTTTTATTGAAAGGGTTGACTCCTGGCATTTGTAATTTTAATCATCAGAAGGGCTTGGAATGAGAAGTATGAGTACTCCCCATTCTTTTCCCACACCTGATTCCCAATCTACAGTTTTTTTGAATACCAACTCTATAATAGGGGGAGAGTAGGGGAAAAGAGAAAGAGATGGGAAAACAAGAGATGAAAGATTTTTTTTTAAATAATAAAAGCAAATGAGGAGATAAGGTGGCTATGTTCTGAATGTCACGGCTGGAGAGGCTGATGCCCATGATGGGCAGGGGAGGAGGGGTGCAATGCTGGCTAACATCCAGGACACAGCACCCAGCAGATTGTGGTCACATGCTAGACTGTGTGCTAAGCCAACAAAGTGCAGTCGAGATCAGCCATAGGCTGGAGTTTGCCCCGAAGGAGGTGGCATTGAGGTCACACATTGCAGAGTCATCCACATGACTTTGTAGGTTGGAATCTTATTTTATCAGCTACTTACCTGAAATAAACATACCCTACCTGAAACTTGAAATGCATTTTGAGCATTTCTTTGGAAGAGTGTGATGCTTAGGACAGGAATGTGTTGCCATGGGATGCTGCTGATATTTTGTCCACCCTCCTATCTGAGCCGCTTTGAAGGTACCCTCTTTCTCGAGAATAAACATCTTCAAAAGGGGGGAACTTCCAACAGAGTGGACCAGGTGAATTTTTGTAATTGTCTGGAATTTGATGCTATATGAGATTTCTAACACTGTGGAATGTGGTCACATTCATGTTAGAATATTATGTCTATCACACATTCTTATCAGCACATTTTTGAAGCCAGAGATATATGCAACCCAAGTGACATGAGCCCACTACACCTAAGAGTTTATACTTACTAATTCCCTGAGAACCAAAGGGGCCTGGATTTAGTAGATTGCTTGATGATGGATAGCAGCCTACCCAACCCTGTCTCTTGAGAAGTAACTTCATTTCTCTCCCTCTTATCCTAATTCCCTAAAACACCCCTATCTTCTAGTGGATAAAGTATAGACAAATACCTGGTTACCTTCACTGTAAACATCTATAGTTCACCCAAAAGCCTAGATGAAGTACCTCACACAGCATGCCAACTGCTGGCACATGTATTTAGTCTATGTTTAATATCCTTCTACTTAGGTTTCTTGCCTTCTAAATTGGAATTAGACTAAAATCTGGTGTCTTGAGTTTCACAACATATTAGTACAGTATGACTTAGGCTGTCTACTCATCTTACATTTGATAACAGTAAAGAAGGTAAATTCATTCATTCATATATTCCTGTATTTATTCATTCATGTAAATTTATTGAGCATGTATTATGTGCTAGGCACTGTTTTTGGTATGGTCCACAGCAATGAACATAACAGGCAAAAGTTCTTGCCCAAATGGAGTTACATTCTAGAAGGGAAGATAAAGCAAGATAAAAATATCCAGTGCGTTAGAGATATGTGCTAGGGAGAGAATTAAAGGTAGGGAGTAGTGGGGTGCAGTTTTAAATAGGGTACTCAGGGTAAGCCTCACTGAGAAGATACTTTTTTTTTTGAAGACAAAGTCTCACTCTGTCACCTAAGCTGGAGTTCAGTGGCACAATCTCGGCTCACTGCAGCCTCCGCCTCCCAGGTTCCAGTGATTCTCCTGCCTCAGCCTCCCCAGTAGCTAGGATTACAGGTGTGTGCCACCACGCCCGCCTAGCTAATTTTTGTATTTTTAGTAGAGACAGGGTTTTACCATGTTAGTCAGGCTGGTCTCGAACTC